AGTTTACCTTGAACCTCAACCTCATTCTGTCTGTCTCTGTGTCTGTCTCAGCAGAATGATTCACTCTTATGGCTATAACAAAACTGTGCTTTGACCCTTTCAACTTTGTAGTAGCTTCGACATATAATGCATTCTGTAAAACAACTTTAAGAAGAGAAGAACAGGAAGTTTGCCAACAAGAATGTCTTTGGCATGTATCATCAGGCATCTGATGCTTTTTCATAATTTAATTTCACGTTTCCTTTACTTGATTTTCACTCCTTTTACGTACAAGCTTTTTGTATTGTCGCCACTTGTCTTGGCTTGGCATGCCATTCAGTATATTGGAGAATGATAGGTTTGACTCAAAGTGACCCCATCAGGTTTAAAGGGTTATGGTTTACATGTGTACAGGTTTATATTCAGTAATGTCCACATCATAATTGAAATTTATCTTTTGGAATTCTGAATATTATTCTGGTTATTGGCTATATTGTGTGTTAAAATAGTCATCCATTATGCAGATGACACCCCAGTGCTTTAGCTTCATCAAACACTCATCCTAGAAGGCTTGAAAGATGTTTTAAAAAGTAAACAAGCCTCTTAAAAACCAAATTGAAAAGAACCTAGATGCCAATCATACAATTTTGTTGTTACAGCTAATCGTAAGCTAGCAGATGCAAGATTGTTTTCTAAGACACATTAGCTGGATTGGTCTTACCTCTATTTCGGTCTCTGTATATGAGTCCCAGTAAGATGGTGGACAGCAGGTAAGGAGTTCCCACCAGCAGGTGACACATCAGTCTGGGGACAGAAACTGAACTGGAAGCTGCAGACGGAGCTGCAGGTGAAGGTGGAAGAGAAGCTGTGAAGATAAATGAAATTTTCTGGCATTTTCAATTTATATCTTAGTGTCAAGATCAGATCAGGACATCCCGACAGTAGACTAAACCAATAAGGAAAAAGAAAGAATAAATATACAAATAATGATGGTTTATTTGACAGACCTTTTCTTAGTTGAATAGAAAGTGCAGATTGTTTATCTCACCTTCAACAGTCAGCCAGCTGCCTAATGATTCTCCACCTCCAGAGATACTGCACTTGTAGAGTCCTTCATCAGATTTGGAAGCACTATGAATGGTAATCTCTCCTGTGGAATTGTTGCTGATGGGGCAGCCATCTTTATAGAAATTAAACCTGTGGTCGGAGGAATCCATCTCAGCTTTGCAGCGCAGAATCACCGTGGCTCCCTCCAACACAGGGAGGGCAGGACTGTCCAGGAGCACAGCACGATCTTAAGAATAGAAAGAAATTCACTTTTACTTCTGCCAAATATAAGCTTCATTTCTGCGTAACCCTAACGCTACTTTGTGGTATTGTCAGACATGGATTCTAACGTTAAGTCTATTAAATGCAGCTTTAGATGTGACTTGAGACGGCAGAACATTAAACATTATCACTTGTGTTGTGCACAGTACCAGTGATGGTGATGTTAACATTGTTGCTCCTCTTCCTGTCTCCTGACTCACACCAGTACACCCCACTGTCAGATGGGTAGGTGTTTCCGATGATGCAAGTTGAGTCAGAGGAGGAACTGCCCCAGCCAAACCCGCAGGTTGTGGTCCAGCCCTCCGACGTGTTCCTCTTTACCTTTAATCCAGTGGAGTTCAACTGATCTTCACACCTCAGAGAGATGGAGTCGTACCTGAAGAACTGAGACCTGTCAGGGCTGACCTGAAGACAGGCTGCACGCAGGGTTGAGGGAGGAGGGAAAGGAGAGAAAGAAGGAAGAAAGAAAGAAGAGGAAGAGAGAAAGAAAAGAATAGCAGGAGTGAGGGAAAGAATTGAGAAGGAAAGTTGAAAGAACAGCCAATGAGAAAAGAGAAGAAAAAGAAAAGAAAAGAGTGAAGGAAAGAAGCAAAGAGTGAAGGAAAGAAGCAAACACAGAAGTGATGAAAGAATGGTCAAAAGGCAGATGGAGATAAGGAGGAAAAAATAAATAAATGATAGCAAGAAAGAAAGTAACAAGTAAAAAAGTGAAATAAAACAGGTAGGAAAGATGAATGATAAAAGAAAAACAAAAATGAAAACAGGAAGAGAATAGAGAAAGCGTGAAAGAATGGTGGAGGAAAGTGAAAAACATCAAAGAGGAAGTGTAAAAGCATAAAAGAAGCATGAAAACAGTAATACAAAAGCGTGGATAGAATAAGTTTGGGAAATGAAAACAAGCGAGAGAGGCAGGAAAAAATGAGGATTGGATTTTTCTACACTAATATGTCTGATTCTGGACAGTTTAAGAAAGAGATTATTGTGTACAGAGTAAAAAAATATCCGTTTGTACTCACACAGCATCAGGCAGAAAGGTGTTGCATGCATCCTGTACCCCCACCAATTGACAGACAGACAGACACACCGAGAGTTTGATGTCTGCACTTCCTCATAGAGAAACTCCTCCCTGACATGTGACTCTTGACTTTACAATGTGCTGTTTTTAATCTACAGACACAGCCGGCCACCTTTTATTTTTTTTATTTTTTGAGTCCACCATGTTTCTACAGTAGCTCAGTAACACTTCTCAACCCCACCTGAGAAGAATATGCTTAATGCTCCACTCTCTGCTGTACTTAAAACCAAATGCAATTGGCATGCCTTCTGCAGCTTCAGCAGCTCTACTATATTTCCAAGATTCCCATCCAGCAAGAACCTAAGGTGAGTGTGTCACCTTAAATTCTTGTCCACACATCCACATTTTCGACACTTTTCCCGGTAGAAGAAAATGACTCCACATGATGACACTGGAACAAGACGACCAGACAAATTCCCAATATGATCGATTAATGTCATTTTACTTCATCAAACCTATTGGTGGCAAAAAAAAATTGCAATGTTAGAATTGATTCACTAGGGGGTCTAGACTAGAGAAGTCTAGACTAATGAATTACGTGAGTACTAAAATGAAACAGAGAAAGCGGTTCATTTCATGTAATAGTGTAGTGGGCATAAAATGAAAGCTTTAAAAAAAACATACAAAAAAGTAATTTTTGTTTAAATAATGTTTAGCTGCTGTCATGTGATATGTATAACTGGCTGAACTTGTCTTATAGCAGGGGGGTGAGAAAGAAGGGTGAGAAACTTGGAGTGAGTAAAATACGAGTTCAATAGGCACCTGGTATGTTCTGTTTCATTCAGTAACTGTATATATTTATATATTTTCTAAAAACATACGACATGCAAATACATTTTCTCATGATATCAACAGCTCTGATTCTTCCGATAAATCTGCCAGAAGTGAGAAACGGTTATTAGACATGACTGCCAGTGGATGGGCTAAGGAATGTCGACGCCGAAGGTTGGGTACTTTTATACCAGTGTCCGGGGTAACCTTGGGATTAATCAAAGAACCGGTTTTGTCTTGCGTCTTCTTTAAAGTGTTGGATGAAGAAGAACTGGACGACATTGCAAAATTAAAGTTCAGTATGGCAGGGCTGCTGTGGATACGGTGGTCTCTTGGGATTGGGCATTCAGGTTCTGGATTACTGTTTCGTCTTGAGATGCTAGAGTTTGCGCTCTGCAGTACATTCCCAGATTTTGGAGGGTTGCTGTTGACCGAGGTTGCAGGACTACATGGATGGCCAAACTGGCAAACAGCAGGACTTCGTTGAGATTTATTGTTTCGTAGTTGACGGATGGTCTCTTCTTTCTCATGAAGCTTTGACTTGAGATCAGCAACCTGTCTTGTCAGCCTATCAATAGTGCTGTCTCCCAGACTTTCAGTCCTCTCAACCCTCACACTCTCCAGAAACGGTTCATTTTCATAGGTGTCACTAATCGTACTTTGATCTGATGACTTTCTCATCACCAGCAATTTCCGTCCCTCCGCTGTGTGAATACAAAAAGGCAGAGTACAGAATGAGCCTGATCATTAGGTGTTGATTCACTTTGGTCATTTTATTTTTGCTACCATACATCATATGGAGATATGAGGTTTCCTCTAGACAGCAATGAGACACTAATTACAAGGAATAGAGAATGAGAAGGCCTTAGTGTCGGTTTCAGATCTGCTGTTTGATGTCAAACTAAACATTTCCTTCAAGTGTTTCACATAAAAAGTCTTCTTCTGCACACCTCAAATTGTCTTCAGTGATATTTTTTTAAAACTTTAATTTCACAAGCTTTAAAATGCATTATTTGCACAGCTAAAGAATGTCTAGTTAAATGTTGGAGGATGTATGAGGAGGTATCAGGGGACAGAAATCCAACCGACTTGCTTTTTGATCTGCACCCACCAGACTTCATTCTCGTATTCATACCCTATTCTGTTACATTTTTCTGTCAGGTTTTCTCGAGTGTTCCAAGTCAGATTCACCAAACTCTCTTAACTACACAAAATGGGTTATTTCAGCTTGATGAAGGCCACATATTCATGAGGAGGTTCATGAGATTTGATGATCTGCATAATCAAGACCTCTAAAATCTAAAATCTCTAAGAGAGCACTCAACTGGTCAATGTTACTATTTAACAGGCCTTTGCACCTTTACCGCTTTTGCTAATTGAGAATTAAGATAATTCT